TCTTTGTTATTGCTGGCAGAAGGATTGCAAAAGCATTAGGTGCCAGTCTTTGAAGAAAGTAGAATCTTGCAATGCCACATCCTTGCCACACAAAGGCAGTGTTTTCAGCACCCAAGAAGTAAGCCTATATACTGTAGTAGGCAGCTTGCAAAGGGAAAAAAACAGGGTTGTGCCATTTTCCCCGCTTCGTGATGAAATATTCTTTGTTATTGCTGGCAGAAGGATTGCAAAAGCATTAGGTGCCAGTCTTTGAAGAAAGTAGAATCTTGCAATGCCACATCCTTGCCACACAAAGGCAGTGTTTTCAGCACCCAAGAAGTAAGCCTATATACTGTAGTAGGCAGCTTGCAAAGGGAAAAAAACAGGGTTGTGCCATTTTCCCCGCTTCGTGATGAAATATTTTAAAAAGTTGGGCATTTTTTGTTATTGTTTTATTTTACTCGTTCAGATCTGAGCTGGGGACTGGTTTTGATTCAGACTCTTTGGGGTCTGTTGAACCCTTGTGAATTGAAATACTAGGGTGAAAGAGGAGCCTCAGAGACATTCTCCAGTGGGCATTGGTCCTAGTCACGGCCACCTGTCAAGCTGCATGAGTGGCCAAAGTCTAGACCATGTAGACGCTAAACTTTTGCTGGTATAGTATGGAGGGTGAGGGAAGTGATTCTTGATTTCTGTTTACTTACAGTATTTCTGGACCAACAAAAGCCCCAGTGTGGATGTATTTATACTAGCTTAAAAGTGCAGATGAGGAAGCAGTGGGACCTGTAAGCCAGTATTAACAGGTTTATATTAGGAATGTTTGCTGGTATCATTCTACAGGTTTAGCTATACTGGCAACCTTGTTATAGGATACATCAGAAAAGGCACAATTTTTGTAGTCAGGACAAGCTCCACCAGGGCAAATTGCAGCTTTCCCAGTCTACACTTGGGGTTGGCACTGGCGCAGCTACGTTCAAAAGCTAACTGCTGTATAAGACAAGTCCTCAGATTCAACAGGCTTTGACTGTGGTGTGCGGGGAGCTCCCAGTCCACATTGCTGAAGCGCCCAGCAGATTCAGGAATAAATCTTCACATTCCGGACATAGCTAACTACCAAAAGGGGTGGAAAAAAATCCGACCCCATTTTTAAAAACAATTACAAAACAGTTTGGGTCTGTTTTGCCCATCACGTGATCTCTTCTTCTTCTTCTTCTTCTTCTTCTTCTTCTTCTTCTTCTTCTTCATCCAAGTCCTCTGGTTTGGCCAACTTGCACTTGGCAGAAGTGGTTGAATGCTGTCACTGCGCTCTCCTTTCCTCTGCGGTATCATCAGAACCGCCAGGGGGCCTGGTGAGCCCTAAGCTACAGCTGCTCTGACTTGTGCAGGAATGTAAAAGCTTTCATGGTTATGATACTGCTCAGAGATTGCTGGAATGCACCATCTTTCCATCGGAATCCCCTCCCTGGAAGCTGACAGACTCTCTGGGCCACTAGGCAAGGTGGGGGGAGGGGAGACACCTTCACGCCCCAGAAGGGCTTCAGGCAGAAGGAGAGGGGATGGGGCTAGCCTCTCCCAGGCAGCCCTTAGCACTGCCCGGAGCACACCACCTGGGGCTCCAGCCGTTGCCGTTGTAGCAGTGGCGGCAGCTGAGAGCACAAGGCCCTTTTGAAACCTTAGGTCCCAGGGTAGTTGCTTCCTTTGTTCTCCTCTCTCCCCTCTCCCCCCCATTGGAGGACCTCGCGGTGACTATGGCAGCTGGGCATTTTCCCTCCCACACACATCATGGGAGGGAACTGGGCAGCTGCATGGAATAGAGTCTTGAACTTGTGTCAGGACCTGACCTCCAAACTCACTCCCTGTGGGGCTCCCAAACCCTTTGTCCCATTTCCTTCCACTTCCCGGGTCTCCTTTCCTGACTCTCTCTTCCCTCAGAGACTTTAAGTCCCAATTAGTGAACTCTTTAAGCACAACAATTTTCCTGTCCTTGAATACCTGTGTAAGCTAACAACATGCCCAGGAGACGTTGACCCTAATTAGAAAAGAATAGGTCATGGATTTGTTGACAGAGAAATTGCAGTTGGACAGTAAGATTGAATAGGGTCAAGACATGAAGCTGTTCCCCTCCCAGTTAGCCTCCCAGGCTGAGATAGAGATAAGTCACAACGTTCTGATCTTGTGCAAAGTTTGGGAATGTTCAGACTGGAGAACCTGGTGCTCAGACACATGTATGAGCACAGGCAGATATGCTAGCAGCTGTAGTACTGCTTGCCTGAGCCATCACTAAGCATACAAAGACCTTCACGCTCGCAGAAAGGAGAGCATTCTTACCTATGCTGTGGCTAGTTTCAATGGCAGGCACCTTCCTGAGCAAGGGGGATATAATTGCATGAGCTGCGCTAACCCAAAAGCAGTCACAGGAAGCATTATGCCATGGGCACACTCTCATGTTTGCTCCTGGGCTAATTTTCTGCTTTCATACACTGACCTTAAATTACTATCCCCCATTGGGGTGGTTTCCATGCTCTGACTCAACCTCATTTACTTGCTGGCCAACGTTTCACGCATTGACCACCTCACCTGCTTAGAAGGGGGATAAGCAGTTGAATAGTTCCAGTGACTCAAATGCCCCAGGTTCTGGTTTCCACTGGTATCTTCTTTGATTAGAATCATAGAATAGAGTCATAGAATTCTAGAACTCGAAGGGACCTCGAGAGGTCATCAAGTCCAGTCCCCTGACCTCATGGCAGGAACAAGCATCATCTAGATCAGTGGTCACCAACCTTTGGAGCCTTTGGAAGGTGATCCTGACTGGTTTGGCCGGGAGGCTATCAAATGCCAGCACTTCGTCTGCTCCTCTAAGCACTGCTGTGCTGCTCCTGCCCTCTGCCTTGAAGATGCCCCATACCCCCTGGAGCCTCCTGTTTGCTGTGCAGGGCACAAGAAGAAGAGGAAGAGGGGTGCTGATGTCAGGGTGTCCCTCCCTCCACACTGTACTACATCTCCACAGAGCAAAGGGGGGCAGAGATGGAGGGAGTTTGCTGGCTGCTTTTGGGAGTGGTGCAGGGCCAGGGTAGGCTGAGCCTGCCTTATCCACCTGCACCACCAGCCAGAAGCCACCTGTGGTAAGTGGTGCTTAGATGGAGCCCACATTCCAAACCCCATCCCCAGTCCTGAATCCCTCCTGCATCCCAAACCACTGCCCCCAGCCTACAAAAGTGAGTGAGGATTGGGGAGGGAGGATGGAGTGGGCAGGGGCGGGGCCTTGGAGAAGGGGCGGGGGTAGATCCTGGATTGCACTTAAATTCAAAAAGTGATCTCATGCTTAAAAAGGTTGGAGACCACTGATCTAGATTATCCACGACTGATTGGTCTCATACTCAAAGTCAGAATCTAGCCGGGAAAGAGAAGGTGTGAAAATAAATTTGGGAAGTAAGGTATTGCTTAATGTAGCAGTAGCAGAATTGAGCCATTCATGTGTTTAAAGCTCTTCGAAGAATTCAGCTCTTTGGGGAGCAGGGACTGCCTTTTGATGTGGGTTTGTACAGCATATAGCACAATGGGGCCCTGATCCATGACTGAGGCCTTCACAATACCAATGATTAACAGCTCTAATCTATTTGCTAGATATTATTTTTTTTAAAAGACTTTTCTTGATAAGCAGAACCATAGTACAAACAAATTTGTTACACTTCTAAAATGATAGAATAGGGAAAAAATTAAATGTCCATCTGAGCTGACAGCTTCAGCGTCAAGTGTCAGACTTCAGCAACTTGAAAAGGCCAAGATATTAAATCCACAAATCAGGGTCGGAAAGATGAGTACAGGTTTGGGTTATATTAGAACCACTCCACATAGTGAGGTTTACAATATCCAATGTCAAAGGTTAATGTAAATTTTTCTTTTAATCAGCAAGGATGAGAGATTGCTAAATTTAAACAGTTAAAATTGTCACAATTTAAAATAATGTTCCAAGGAAAGGCAGTGAAAAATAAATCTATCCTGAATGGCAGAGAGAGAAAAATAAAGTAATCACTTATCCAAATCATAATTTCATTCATCGTTATTAGATGGCTTTAAATTGCTTGCTCACTCGGGATTAGTGGCTTGATGTAAATGACTAAAATCCTCTTTACAATCCTGAATCGTTAAATCCTTGGCTATTTCTCCATTATTATGCTTTGTTACTGATCCATCTCTATGTTCAGGACTTAATCTCAATTCTTTTGCAAATGAATTCTTCTTTTCACTTAAACACAATTGAATTCTTTTTTTCTCTTAGACACAATTGCATACTTTCTGGTTACACTACACAGACATTCCTTTCACTTAAAAACAAAACAAAAACATCTCAGAGGCAAACACTTATGCACACTTCATGTTTACTCAGTTGATTAGCAAGGATAAGAGATGGATGGTATTTTGATGAGTCTACTATTATGAAAAAAGCAGGTCCTTAGGTGTTTACAGTCTTGAGGCCAAACCAATTGATGCCATAAATGATATTCTTGCATGTTCTCCATTCATTTCAGCTGTGTTGTCAACAATGGTACATAGCAAAAGAATGGAACTAGGAGGAGGAAATCATTAGTCCTCACTTAAGCACATTCTTAATCCTTTGCTAAACTGGCTCCCTAGGTTCTGATCCTGAAGGGAAAGGCATCTATTGACTTCAGTGTTGCGCCATCTTAGATATTTAAAATTCTTTCATGCAGTATAATCACAATTTTCATTGATGTTGCTGTTTGCCCTATCGATTCTCAGAAGTAGAGCCCAGGTCTGCAGAGCCTAGGATAGCTAACATGCCCATGTACCAGGAAGCCACATAACATAGCTCCAAGGAGCTCTGTGGATATTAGGTGCCACAGGACATACCAAATGGTTCAGAGCGACAGAACCTTGTGACCTTCTGATTGGCCCACACTCACTCTTTAGCTCTGCAGGGTGGCTAGGATTGCCAGGTGTCTGGTTTTTTACCAGAACACACATTCAAAAAGGGATCCTGGTGGTCCTGGACAGCACTAGTGACAAGCCATTCAAAGTCTGGTTGGTGGCACAGCAGGGCTAAGGCAGGCTCCCTTGCCTGCCCTGGGTCCTCATGGCTCCCAGGAAGCAACCAGCATGTCCTGCAGCCCAGAGGTGGAGGAGTGATCAGGGAAGTGTAGTGTTCTGCCCCAGCCCTCAGTGCCTTCACTACAGCTCCCATTGTCTCTTCAGGAACCATGGCCAATGGGAGCTGCAGGCATGGGCAGTGCGTAGAGCCCTAGGAGCTGAATATGTAGTCACTTCCAGGAGCCTGCCTTAGCTCCACTATGCTGTTGACCAAGAGCCACCTGAGGTAAGCGCCACCCAGTTGGAGCCTGTGTCCCAATCCCCCTCCCTCACTCCAGCCTCCTACCCAAGCCCAGTAAAATTGAGTGCGGGTGGGGGAAAGCAAGAGATGATGGGGGTGTGTGTGGAAGGGGCAGAGTAGAGCCTTGGAGAAAGGGTAGGACAGGAGTGTTTGGTCTACTTCCCTCCCGCTGACCAGGCCAGGGTGAGACTAGTGGCCTGTTTTCAAGCTGGAGAAGTGCTGGATTGGCCCCTCACCTCACTGGAGCAGGACAGCTTGGTGTTAATTAAGACTATGAATCAGTCATGGGTATTTCTAGCAAAAGTCATGGGCCAGTCAGGGGCTATAAACAAAAATTCATGGCCCCTGGCCTATCCATGACGCTTACTAAAAATACCCATGATTAAATCGTAGTCCTAATTAACAGCAAGATTTACACTGTAAATATGCCTGACTAAATCTTGGGAGGGGGACTTTTGGGTAAGGCCCCACAGAGGCTACTGCATGGAGTGTGGGGCAGGGCCAGAAGCACCAGCTGCTAGGGGCTGCTGAGTAGCAGCTGCTCCAGCCATCCCCCAGGACAGATACTCAGGCAGTCCCTGGGACTAGCTGTACCAGCCACTGCTCAGGTGATTCCCGGGGCCAGCTGTGCTGCTTGAGCAATCCCCAGGGTCAGTTTCTCTAGCAGAAGCCGCTGCAGTTGGCTGCAGAGCCATCTGACCTGCTGGTTGCAGAGCCACTCCAGGAGTGGCCAAGGTGTCTGTCTCCAGCCCTGGGGTCAGCTGTGCCGGCCGCTGCAGAAGTCACAGAGATTGTGGAAAGTCACAGAATCTGTGACTTCTGCGACCTCCATGACAGTCACGGAGTCCTAGTTTTAATCAACTCCTGCAAACATTTTCTGCAATTTGCTCAGCAGACGCTGCACTATGAAGACCCCTTTCCTGGTCTGTCCAATAGTCACCCCTAGTCATCCTGGTCCAGGGCATGAGTAAAATCCATGCTATCCTCCACTTTAAACTGAAGAGGGGAAAACTGTATTACTGAATAGATCGGGGCTTTGTTTCTGAAGAGTGATCCTGGGAGATTGTTTCCCATAGCCATGGCTGTCCTGGTAAAAACAGTTTCCTCGGGACAAACCTAGTGCCAGTCCTGAGGAATGGTGCTTCTGAAGGTAAGGAGTAATGTAAGGATCCACAGGACATGAACTGGAGCACTTGTAATTAACATTCTCACAGCATCGCAAGGAGGTCATGCAGCACCTTCTACAAGGAACATGGTGGACAGTGGGCACCACAGGAAGTACTAATCAAAGTATTCAGAGTGACAGCACCCTGTGGCCTTTTGTTTGGCCCGTGCTCACTATTTAACCCCGAGGGGTGGCCCAGGAAATTCTCTGGACGCCCATGTAAGCTTCTGACTTCTGGTGACAGATCTTGCCTCATTCATTGATTTCCCCAGTCTGACCCTGTCTTTCTAGTGATTACTCTGATCCCTTCATGCTGGCTACCACCTCATGAACATCCTTGACTTGGTAAAACCACCCCAGCTGTGATATAGGACAAACTGCTTGTGTCCCAGACCCTTATGCTTGTGCTCTTAGCATTGGCCATGCAAATAAACAGGTGAGCTTTGCTTATTTTCTTAAATGCCTGGATTCTAATAATTTTTGCTTTCTATTTCTTGTGCCCTAGAATTGTAATTTAATGCTACATGTACAAACTGTGAAGAGAACTGTTTTTAAAGACTACTTCTGGAATAAAAACAACCATGAAAAGACTTTAAAAAAAACTAAATTTGGACCAATTGTGACTTGACAGCTCTCCATTTAATAGCTTGAATAGTACCACCTTAACCCAGCTCTGCCACATTGTCTCTGGCTAATAGAGAGCTTTGCTTGTTGTCAGACTGAGGGATGTATGAAGAAAAGGGAAGGAACAAGGGGAATGCCTGCATTCCATGGAATGTCTAGTCAGGGATACAAGGCCAAATCCAAAGATGCTTAATCTGGCCTACCACCATTAAGCTAATGGAGCTATATATGCTGACATACAGCAGCGAAGGAGCTAGTCTTTACTGGGATGGGCGTTAACTTTAAATATGGCTGGGGAAATACAGTGCCTAAAAAAATCTGCATACAACATTTTAAAATTCTGCATATTTTATTTCTTAAAATAACACAATATAATCACACCAGTTTCAATTATTTTGGTAATTTATTTCAAAATACAGGTCAGTGAGTATGTCTGTGACCACAGGAAAAAGGAGCCAGGGAATGGTTTGGACAAATAGATTCCTACTAGTCATTAATGCAGAATTTTGAATAATAA